ATCTCCTAGCCTTTCAAAGCATTTTTTCCAGATTTGTTATCTTTTTGCTGCTTCTGAGATAGTCAGAGACCAACTTCTGTTGCATACAGGTAAAAAAGAGTCCTTGAGGATTTTACTCCGCTAATCATTTCTGACTACATGGGGTAGTTCTCATCTCCTTTTCAAGGCCATTGAGCCAGTGCTGTCTGAAGACATTTCCGCAATCATGTGGCCAGCACCTTCCCATTGAAGTAGTACCTATTTATCTACTTGCATTTGCATGTTTTAGAACTGTTAGTTTGGCAGGTGCTGCGGTGAGGTTGGGAGCTCACCCTATCATGTGGAGCTCAGGTCTCAAACCTGGGCTGCCATCTTTCCAATTCCATATATGGAGAATGATAAAAGGAGTTGGAACACATAGTGACTTATTTGATGATGCCATGGGCACCTGACCAATAATATTTATCACCTTATTAAATGCTTTGCCTGTCAGAAGTCTCCCAATGTGGTTAACATTCTGTTGGACATCATTTATCTTTCTGTTTCTTTTAGCACAGCTCTCCACAAATTATAATGTTGCTCTCTCTTGTGCTAATGAAACATTGTACACTCATGCTTGCATTGCTGAAATTCCTGATTAAATTAAATTTAATTCAGCTCTTTCCATTCTAAATATGGGCTTGAGGTTGAGCGCCATTTTGGGTCAAATTTACTCTAGGAGATCATCCTAGAGCAAGCCAAGTCCAAAAATGATACAGAATTCCTGGCACTCTGACAAATCAACCATCAGTAAACACATAGGTGTAAACAACATCTACCTGCCATGCAAATGAGACAATCAACAAGCCAAAAAGGGAACAAAAAGATCAAAATCAGAAATCAATACCCAGATGTAGATTAATACTCAGATTAACATCAGACCAACAATTAAGAAATAAATACCCCCAATCAAGGAACTACCAAACAAGAACAGTAAACAGCCTAAACAAAGAACCACCAAAGCTCACTTCCCAGTGTTACCTATTTTGGTAATGAAACATCTTGAAGAAAACCACCAAGCTCAGAGAGACCAACTCGGAGCTACAAACATTCTCCTCTATCAATAATAGACATTTTAGCCCTTCTGCTCTGCTGAGATCATCTGCTTCTTCTAATTTCACTAATGTTGAAAATCAGCAAGCCAGAAACCTGTCACAATTGAATCTCCCTGCTGATGAGGGCTTCTTTTCCAGGATGCGATGTCAATCTGGCCAATTGGCTATGCCAGCCCCCTTATCACCATAGGTAATCTAATGATCAGAGGCAGCACAATAGTGGCAGTCATTAGTCATTCTCCAACATGCCAAACCTGTCCTTTTAGTAATGCATGTGGAAAATAAGACCTTGCCCTTTAATTATATTTTGAAATTGTCATTTGTATTAATTTAGCGTAAGTTAGACCAATTGGAAAATTGTTGTTATTTTTTGTTCAGTCGAAGAAAGTTGCAGGGAAAATATTTCAACCAAAACCCTTGAAGATACCCAGCTGAAGCTAGATGATGTCTTCTAAAGGGATTTTCCACCTATCTTTTTGTTTTTCCATTCCTTGAAATATGAAGCAGCTAGCAAATGATGGTTCCCTGTTAGAACCCAAGGAAGAATCTTTTTCTCATCAGATCTCAAAGCACTTTGAATGAAACTAGTTTGTCCTCCGATTCCAAACACCGCATTGTATCCTCTTTCAATCTCAGTCTACCGATGGACTCCAGTCAAGGCTGATAACATACAAGCCTGCTCAGTTGCCACTTCCACCCTGAAGAATATGTCTGACTTGGTCTTATGTGCTTTTGCATTTCTGCCACATTTCAGCTTGGAGTGCTGAAAGGCAAAAAAAAAAAAAAAAGCCTGCTTCTTAACATGCTGTTTAAGCTCTTCTCATCTTCTTCAGACAAATAATATTTGCAAGGAAGGGACAGAGCTAACTTCTGCATGGAGGCAGCAGGCAACATGAAGGAAACGTGAATGGGTCTTCTTGATGGGTCTTTGTCACAGTCCATTTTGTAGGGAGCCTTTCCCCTACCCATGATTCACCCCTCACACCACCATTTAAGGTTGCTGCAGACAAGGGAGGCATCAATAAATAAAACCATTCTTTGAGGAGCAGAACATGGGAATACACTGTAGAGCAAGGGTCTTCAAACTTGGCAAGTTTAAGACTTGTGGACTTCAACTCCCAGAATTCTTGAGCTAACATGACTGGAGAAGGAATTCTGGGAATTGAAGTCCACAAGTCTTAAAGCTGTCAAATTTGAAGACCCCCTGCTGTAGAGTTTCTTCATTTGCATCTTTTCACCCTTCTGCCAGCAGTCCTACTCAATGGCCTCCAGACATCCTTCTCCTTGGAGTGACATTCCATATACAAGGACCTGCCATCATAAGGAAATGCTTCTCTGAGATATGCAAAAGCGTCTGCTAATGTTGGATGCAGATTTTTTTTCTCCCTGTCCCTGGGATTGCAAGTGAGGAAAACAGTCCAGTCGAGAGCTTTTGTGATTTACTCCATACAAACTGGAATAGCTGTTACTTAAAGAGGTGGGCATCTGAAGCTCCAGATAGTTGCTGGAGAAATTGGAAGCAGTAAAAAATGAGATTCAGTGATGACCTTTATCAGCTTTGATGACAGCTATAAATCAGACTGAAATTCTCATCAGCCTGCTGGACAGAATTCATTTGCAGACAAAGGCTGCTGCGTTGCTTTCTGTCTTTGATTGAGGGACGCCCAGTGAAAATGAATACAGCTTCAATAATATGAATCACACATTTCAAAACACAAACGGAGAGCTATTATTCATTGGTTCTGAAGACTGAGATGATTACAGGACTTGGAGACTAGCAAAGGCTTATTGTGTTTTCCTTTGGGTCATGAAGCCAATCAATTCTGGCTTCTTTAAAGCAAGCCAATTTGCTCTTCATTAAATTTTAACCCTTTGCTGATCATGAGAATTGACTGTACCAGCAGAACCAACCAACCAATGCTGGTTTATTTTTATTTTTTGCTTTTCACCTTATAAAGACAGGATATTATTAACTTCTCAAAGGCAATGAAATCTTTAGAAAAAGGACTTTATTTCTCAGAATGTAACAAGGAGGCGTGGAGTTTTCAACTCCAAAAGACTGTCCTTGGATGTAAACAAACTTTACATCCTTATGTAACATAAGGGTTTATACCTAAAAACAGTTTTTCTACCTTGGGCATTGTCCAGATGTTTGTGAACTTCAACTCCCAGAAGTCCTGGGCCACTCAAAGCCTTTGCTATGAATTCTGGGAGTTGAAGTGCAAACATGTGGAGAATGCCAAGATTAAGGAAAGATATTTTAAAAAGTGAGCCGTGCAGAAGTCACAGGTAAGGCCAGGAATATTGTTGCACCATGTGTACAAAATAATTACACAATATATGAACAGATTTGGGGGAGTTTTGATATCACAGCCAGGACTATAACCTTCATGTGTGGACTATAGGTTGTTCCGCTGGTCATCAGGTTGCTTGCTTTCCTAACAATTTTTATAGGTTTGCTGTACAATATGGAATGGCTAGGTTTTCTACTTTCTTAGAGACTAAAAGTTACATTAACTTGTGGACATCAACTTTCATTTCATTTCACATTTTATTTTCATTTCCCTTAAAATTGGTATCAGTTTAAGAGTACCTAGCCAACTTTGGCTTATCTCAAAATAGCTTAAGTAGGGTTTTGCCTACTTAATGCCGGGATGGAAAAATACCAAGAAATCTCAGGGTTGTATACTTGACTAAGAAGTTGAAATAAATCTTGGAAAAAAGCAATTGCAGTCAGTTTTGTAGTATTTCCAAAAAAAAATGACAGAGATGTGAATGTCTATTTACCAAGAGTTAGATTTATCTCAAATGGCATTTATCTTAATGCCGTTTACAGGTGGTCCTTGAGTTATGACGTTGCTTAGCAACCAGTTAAGGTACAATGGACACAAAAATAGTATTCATGTCCTGGATTTGAATTTTCAACACTGGTCATGGGACCATACATTTGGGACCCTTGGCAACTGGCCTGCCTTTATGGCTGTTTGCAATGTTCCCCAGTCTCGTGATTACAATTTGTGACATTTTTAGCCAGAAGCCAGTGTTTACTTCCAGCTTCTGGCAAAAGAAATCCATCAGAAACAATCAATTACCTGAACAATTTGGGAAGTATGTGTTGATGGAAGTGGGTGATAATAGATATGTTTTAAAAACTGAGTTAGTATATATCTGATTTAAAATATCTAATCTGTGACTCTGATGCTAGCTAAATCATGAGAATCGAAGATGCTTCTCTACTTTAGACATTATCCAGTGCCTTCTAAGCATAGGGTAAAGGTAAAGGTTCCCTTCGCACATACGTGCTAAATATTTCCAGTTCTAGGGGGTGGTGTTCATCTCCGTTTCAAAGCTGAAGAGCCAGCACTGTCCAAAGATGTCTCTGTGGTCATGTGGCTGGCATGACTAAATGTTGAAGGCGTATGGAACGCTGTTACCTTCCCACCAAAGGGGTCCCTATTTTTCCACTTGCATTTTTTACATACTTTTGAACTGCTAGGTTGACAGAAGCTGGGACAAGTAAGGGGAGCTCACTCCATTGTGCAGTGCTAGGGATTCAAACCGCTGAACTGCCGACCTTTCTGGTCGACAAGCTCAGCGTCTTAGCCACTGAGCCACCACATCCCTTTAAGCATAGGTTAGCTCTCTCCTTAACATGAAACAGGAATTAGTCCTCCCAGAAGTAAATGAAGCTAGCATCCTAGTTCAGAAAAATTGTGTGATTCCTTTTCCTAGTATCCAATTTCCCCCCTCCTCTTCTGTTTTTTGATCCTCTTTGTTGGAAATGGCAAGTAATAAATGTAGACCTAGAGTTTTGTTAAAGTAAGCTAGATGTTTTGCCACTAACCTATGGTCCTCTCTTAATTATCCTCTGGCCCATATGTGATAGATGTAAATCACCCTCTTCTTCTGTTCTCTCTCCTCTTTTAGATACAGAATTCATTTATAGAGACCGGAATGGCTCAGTGATAGTGCACAATGTGGAAACAAACCATTCAACAGTTTTAATAGAAAACAAAATCATTGTGAGTATTTTCTTGAATAGGTTACACAGTTGCACACCTGTCTGTCTTTCGGGTTAAGAAAGAACATGCCTTTAGTTAATTGAACAGAAGCTGAATATTCTAACTGAAACAACACTGCAAAATACAAAAACATATATATTTTATATATGCTTCATATATGTGTGTGTTTGTGTGTACACCGAGAGCTTAGGACTGAAGACAAATTCCTTGTGTGTTTAATCACATTTAGTCATTAAAGAATATTCTCTTCTTCTCTTTTCTTCTCTTCTTCTTTTCTTTTCTCTTCTCTTCTCTTCCTTATTCTATTCTATTCTATTTTCTATTTTATTTTCTGTTCTATATTCTGTTCTATTCTACCGTATTCTCTATTCTATTCTCTATTCTGTTCTTTATTCTATTCTATATTCTACTCTACACTACAAAATTGAAGTTGAGATTGATGAGTATTCTTAGCCAAACAGTTCCAATAAATAATATAATTCCTTCTCATTGTAAAATGAAGAGCTGGCAATCAAAAAGAATAGGCTAAGAAAAATCTTATTTATTTTTTAAAAGAAATAAATGCATTTCTTCCCACCTGTTTGTCTTCAAGTCGTGAGTTTCTTTTGAAAGCAGGCTCCAGGTGACGTGTGTTTCTCACAGTTGCTGAGCTCAGCCTAAACCCTCTAAAAATAAGACTTAAAGGATATAATTCAGCTTTAATCCTACCGAAAGATCACTGGGGAGATTGTGATAAGAGGAGATTATGATAAATTCTACAAGAAATTCACTGGTGCAGTGGTTAGAGTGCAGTATTGCAGGCTGACTCTGCCCACTGCCAGTAGTTTGATCGTAACAGGCCTCGAGGTTCACTCAGCCTTCCATCCTTCAGAGGTTAGTATGAGGACCCAGGTTGTTGGGAGGAATATGCAAATAATATTGCAGGATTCCATCTGGATCAGTCACTGCGACCAGAGTTTAGTCTTCTGAGCTTCCAGATTCATGCTGTAGCTCATCCTCAGGGAACTTATCTCTACTGGACTTTGTGCAAATAGTACTGTTATTGTAATCCACCCAGAGAGTTCTGTAAAGCTATTGCTTCATTATTTCCAATTCAATTAGAAATTTAAAATGTCCCCAATTTTTTGCAATATTTCTATTAACATAGTGGGAGAGATTACATAAGCCAACGTTTCTCAACCTTCGGAATGTTAAGAGGTGTGGACTTCAGCTCCCAGAATTCCCCAGCTCCCATTTGCTGGCTGCAGAATTGTAGGAGCTGAAAGTCCACCCCTGTTATAGTTGCCACGGTTAAGAAACTCTAAAATTGGCCAATATGGCTCATCTTTGCTCAATTCCAGAATCCAATAATAAATACTCCTTGAAAATGGCTGTTTAACCCCACTTGAACACATCCAGGTAGAGGTGGACCATAACCTTGCTAGATAATTGGTTCCATTATTAAACTTTTCCTTTTGTTAAGAATTATTTCCTCTCATTGAACTGGAATCCTGGAATTTAAGTCTCCTATTCTGTATCTTACATTCTGGGACAATAAAGAAGCCATTGTATAAGAAGCCATTGTATAAAACCTTCCCTGGTCAAGCATTCTTAGAGGTTTCTTACTGATTAAAAACACAAATTTTATATCCTTTTATTTAATTTCATAGTTAATTTTCTCTGCTACCTAGATTTTACCTCACACATTGTGGGTTCTGTGCATCATCCATTATATTAAATGCAAAAATGTGAGCCTGGCCTTTAAATTTTGGGTTTGACTGACTGTTACAACCTCAAGACTCTACAAATATTAGCAAATATTAACTCTCACAAGACGGATCAAAATATAAAGCAGATATTTACAAGTTTTAGGAAACATACTAACATGTTAGGCACGTTGTAAAGATTATGCATGAATATTAAAATTTGAGAAATAAAAGTAAAATAAATAAAGTAGATATTTACAGTTTTTAGGAAACATACCAATATATTTAGCATGTGGTAAGAGTTATGCAAGCATATCTCTTTTTTATATTGCATTTTATAGTGTTTTATTTTTACTATATATTTTTGTGCTGTTTTATTATTTTTAATGTTATAAGCCACTCAGAGTCACCTCATACTGAGATGAGTGGCAATTAAATTAAATTAATATTTGAATGTATTTATTTGAGATGTTGGGTTTTGTTTTATTTTTCAGGTGTCTATAAAAGCTATTAAATATGAAGTTTCGCCAGATAGAGAATATGGACTCTTTGCCTATGACATTGTACCGGTAAGTAAGCAGACTGTATTTATTTTGCTTTCAGTTTAATGGTGTTTTTTAGTCGTGACAGGTATAACTTTACCCAGAGAAAGATTCTTGACATGATTGGTCTTGAAGTCAGTGCTTCGTTATACATAATTTTAGGTAATAACCTCAAAGAATGAAAATAAGAGCATAAAGAAAGAGAAAAACAGCAACATCATGACAAGAAAGAGATGGATTATTAATTTAAAGAAGGTAAAATGGGACATCCCTAGGAATAAAAATAAATTATTTCAAAAGGATGATATATGTAAGAGTTGTCCTACAATTGTTAATTTTGTTGAAGCATTTACATATATACCAGTTAAAGGATAATTTAGAAAAAATATATAGGTATATAATTGTTGGCCGGGCACTTGATCACTTTGGTGGATTCCTCTAGATCTGTAGTTAGGAATGAGTACCAAAATGGCACTGTCTGCTGAGAAGATTGCCTAATTATGCCTATGGAATTATTAAGAGTTGAGTTGAACTTGAAGATTTTTGTTACTCTTCAACAGAATAAATGTCACCATTGATTTTAGTACCAGGTTTAGTAGATGTGAAGAGAAATCCCTATTTATCCAAGGGAGATGTGCTGCACCTAGCAAAATATCAAAGGTAACATGGGTGGATTGAGAAGTTGTTAGTCCTTTGCTTATGAAAACTATAAAACATCTGTTCTCAACCTGTTGCTTCCACTTGGGAACTTCAGTTCCATTTATAGCACCAACATAGCCATTGATGGCTGGAGAATTGAATGGGAAGTGAAGTCCAACTCCCATAACTCAGAAGTTGAGCTTCTTTAGATAGACAAAAACTGCTGTAACAGTATGACTTTGCTGCAAGATCTTTTAATCTTCTTTGTTTAAATGTCTATGGAGATTCTTAGTCATCCAGGTATGGATGTCTCAAAGGTGTTTTTTCAGGAAAAAGTACCTTTCAGACTTCTTTGTTAACTTTCTTATTAAACTTTCTTAATCATTATAAATTTTAACAGAAGGTAAATGTCAGTACCTTTCACTGCTGAAATAGCTCATTAATTATAATACCTCTCTTCCCATGTCAGGCTTAAGGTTGATATATCAGTATGCATGAATATTCAATTGCTTAAATGTCCAAGGAATTTAAACCCAATCATTGGACCAACAATCTTCTTGGGACCATTACCTTCAAAATCTAAATAATTTATATTCCAAACAGGAAATAAAAGAAGGGGGATTAACCTAGATTATGAGATTGTTGAAAACGCTTAATTATATCTTTGAAGGTGAAGATATGTAGAATTCTGATATATTTTCCATTTCATGAATAGTGGCTTGCTCCTCTCTGTTAGCAGCTGCACTGAATAAATTATGCAAAATAATCAGGTTTATGGCTGAAGAAGCTCTGAAGAAGAAAAAGTGACATCAATGATGCAGAATGTTCATCTCCTTTTTCATAAATAGCAAAAAAATATGTAACCTATTGTATTGCAGAATTGTAGAACAGTAATTTCAGGATACACAGGAGTGGCTTCAATATTCAGATAATCAGACTCTAAGTAGAACTCAATGGGATCAATGGGATAGAAATCAATGGGATCTAAAGTGATCATGAATCTAATCCAATGAGAATTATTTCAAACAAGAGTAAGTCAGTTCTGTTCATCTTGCACCAGATGCCATCATGGTTGCATCATAAATAGATATCAGCTCTGGACTGATGACACAGTTGATTGAAAGAATTATCAACTATTAAAGAATTACTGGTTTGAGTGGAATTCCTATTCAGCCTGAGGCAGAGAGCAAGGTGATAAGCCGCCTGGGAAAGCCAAGGATAATCATCACAACCATCAAAAAGCAAAAGTTAGAATATTTTGGACATGCGATGCAACATCCGGAAAAATACGGCATACTTCATTTAATCCTCCAGGGAAAAATTGAAGGCAAAAGAGATCCAGGCAGAAGAAGAACCTCATGGCTTCAAAATCTAAGGGACTGATTTAGACAAAAGTCAGCAGCACTTTTCCATGCGGCTGTTGATAAAAATAGGATCACCAATATGATCGTCATGATCTGATGACAGATACGGCACAAGAAGAAGAAGCATACAGCCAGGACATATGACCTTTTATGGCTATTTCTTTGGGGTGCAAAACTGCAAATCTTTCAGAAATGTTAAAATAGCTATAAATTAAATTCCAACTAAACTCCAAACTTACTGGAAAGGTCAGAATGAAACGAAAGTCATACAGTGAAACGTCCATCTGAAAGTCTTTTCTTCTGGCTGACTCTAAGATCCACTGTCAGAAAACGATGTTAAATTTTTTTTAAAAAGGACAGAGTAATGCTCTGGCAAGGAAGGAGACATGTTACATCACATCCAATAGACTAGGGCCGTGATGGCGAACCTGTGGCACGCAGAGCCATTTGTGCCAGCATGCGAGCCACAGGCAAACTTACTTCACTGCGCATGTGCAGGCCTCACAACTGATTTTCAGCGGGTTTGAGGCCTTTTTTGGCCTCCTAGAGGCTTGAGGAAAGCCTCTGCAGGCTTTGCAGGGCGAATAATAGGCCTGTTTCATCACTTCCTATATTTCTGGAAGTGACGAAACAGGTCTATTATTCGGCCTG